TGGCAGGTATTGCTGAAATGCCTTAGACCCTAAAACATTCCCCTAATAATTCGTGAGTTTTGTCGTGAACTCCATATAGACCCGCCTATTTCCTATACATGATGCAGCATCGATGATTCTGAATGCTGGCAATTGTCGATGGATCATTTCATCATGTAAACTGCATGCTTCAGCTTAACCGTAACTTGGAGGTCATCCAAGCCAAAACACCGTATTGGGGCATAAAACGCGATACGGTGTTTTTGCTTCGCGAAAAGGCACAAAATTTACATACAAACCAGGCCAAAACACCATATCGAATGCTAAGTAAAATGATAATGATTATTATGAAATTTGAATAAATGTATCAATTCTGCAAGATCAGACAATTCTAATGGTATTTTTCCTATCACGGAATGTTGATTCCTTCACATAGAAATCACACCTCAAAGTAACAAAGTTTAAAATCGTTCTCCTGTAAAATTTGAAAAACCTTGGATACTGTGTTTTGGCTTTGGACGGCAGAGCTAGTAAAATCATCTTTCAGTTTCTGTTATGTAACGATGAAATATGAGCAATAATTAACCTCTAGCGTATATTAGCGGCAGATTGCTATCGATGTAGCCATCTCGCTGACCCTGCTCCGTTCTCCCTCGGCAGCTGGAGTCGGACACCCAGGAGTACTTTGCCAAGTACCTGACGTCCCAGAAGCTGCTGCAGCTGCAGCTCAGCGACTCCATGTTCCGCCGCTTCGTGCTGGTCCAGTTCCTCATCCTGTTCCAGTACCTCGCGTCGCCGGTCAAGTTCAAAAGGTGAGACGAGGAGTGGTGGGGGACGGTGCTTGGGGCACTACGGGGTTGTAGGCTTCGGGAAACGATCGGCTCGTAATACTTATCAGCGTTACGGTGGAAGACGAAAAGATCGGAGTACGTTGCAACTTGCAATGCTATATTTAATTACACTCATAGTCCTTGTTTCTATTGTTCTGCTTTCCATCACCAGACTCTGCCAGCCAACACACGGCACATTCAATCATGTGTTTTTCCAAAGCTCAGCAGTCCGTTGTCTCTCAACTGACCCAGTCTGTCGGCTGGCTGTGTTTCAGCGAGGGTCAGGTGCTGACGGAGGCTCAGCAGACCTGGCTGCAGGAGACTCAACAGACTGTCTACAGCCTGATCGCGGAAACGCCGCCACACGGCAAACAGTTTGCTGAAACGATCCGCACCATTCTCAAGGCATGTATGCGCTTCATTTTACCACTGGCTCTAGTGATAAACGGTTTTTTGCCTTAGCGTTAATTGACCTTGAAGATGTACTATGTTTCCCAGTTTGAATGATAATGTTCATACTTCATACTACGTTAGTGACAGCCGTAACATTGCTGTTGCCTTTTGAGTGGCTATTGTCAGTCTTAAATGCCCTGGGATATTCATTCTGCGTGAATTAGGTATTGCGGGAATTCGGGCATGATTATCGAGTGTCATGTCCTTACCCCTCCTCTGCCCCCTCTCGCCTTCAGCGTGAGGAGAGCTGGAACACGTGGAAGAACGACGGCTGTCCGGCGTTCAAACCTCCCGTGGCGCCGGAGGAGAAGGCGGAACCGGCGGCGGACCGGGCTGCCGGCCGGCCCGCGCCCCGCCGCAGACAGAAACGGAAAGTCGGCGACGTGCTGAGGACCGCAGAGGCCAAGAAGAAATTCCTGATGGGACAGTGAGTGCGGGAGAATGGGGAGGGAGAGGCACTTGGTTGGGATTGGCGTGGTGCTGGTGGACTAAGAGTCTAAGAAGCTTTGAAGATTGTCTTGTTGGTTGTCTGTATACTTCAGGAAAAGCATTAAAGGTGGCGGGCATTCCGTAAGCTTGCATTTCTTTACTTATTCAAAAAAGTTGTTTTTAGTTGATGTCTGTTGTTTGGCGTACGCCCTCGGTAAATGTCATACTGGTACCATTCTGACGGGTTTCCGTCTCCATCGCCTGACAGCCCGGAGCTAACCCGTCTCTGGAACGTCTGCCCTGACAACATGGAGGCGTGCAAGTCGACCAAGCGCGACTTCCTGCCGGCGCTGGACACGTTCTTTGACGAGGCCATCACCCAGATGGACCCGGCCAGCTGCGTGGAGGAACAGTACAAGTGAATGAGGGAGAGAAATATAAGGCGCAGCGGTTATGACAATAATACAGGAGGGAGGGCTCAGAAGCCAGTGAGAATAGCGTGGAAACGTTACGATGGTATATTTATGTTTGGAAATTGAGATAATGCATTGTTACCATAAGACAGAGTAGTACAAAATACCCTACTCGTTGCCATTCATACAAAATGCACCGGGCGAAAATATACAAAAGCGCGCATACTTGGAACACACATGCTTGTTTTCATCGTTGGCTATGTCGTCTCACAGCTTGGCTTCCGACATCCCTCCTGACATCCCACTTCGTTATCTGCAGGGTGATCAACAACGGCGACTACGGGTGGCGCGCGCTGCGTCTGCTGGCGCGCCGCTCGCCGCACTTTTTTGCGGCGGCCCAGAAGATCCCCAACTCGCTGCCCGACTACTTGGACACAATCCTGAAGAAGGTGGCCAGCGACATACCGGTGGGTGCTCGGGGATGGGACAGAGTTGTATCTGGTATCGGGAGCTGTTAGGGACAGGGCCGACTGGTATCAGGTCTAGGGAAGCTGCTTCATGAACAACATAGAGCTCTAACTTAGAGGCCCGCTGCTAAAAATAGACTAACCTGAGATAGAAAGTAAAGTCCTGGCGGCTAGAATAGTGAGTGTAGCGAGGAACTCGCCACAAACCCCTGCCTTGCCCTAGAGGAGCCCGTCTTCCCTGACCCTCCGAGTCTCCTTCGTTTTTAATCCGCTGACTCTCCCCTCTCCCCGTGTGCAGAAGTTCAGCGGCAGTGCCGGCGGCCCGGGCGGTGAGCCGGCCGCTGCTGCGGCCGAGGAGGCCGTAGCGGAGGGCGGAGCGGAGGCCGAGGAGCTCCGCGCCGCAGAGGAGGCCTCTGAGGAGGCGCCGGCCGCACGCCGCGTGCACCCCGTCACCGAGGCGCTCACTCAGAAGATCGCCGCCGGTCTGGGTGCGGAGTGGGAGCGGCTGGCCTCCAAACTGGGCTTCCAGTCCGATGAGGTAAGTATCGTCCGTGGGCGGGGGAGGTGGAGAGATGGGTGGGAAGTGGAGGACGGAGAGTGGAGATGGATGGATAAATAGTGTGAAGAATTGGTGAGTCGAGGATACGGAAAGAACGAAAATATCGTTGATTTTCTTGGTTCGTGGAACTGGAGGCCATGGTGAGATATGAGGGGTAACCGATCAATTTAAGACACCCGAAAGGGCTTGCCCGTGATTTTGTACCGTGCCGAACCCCATCAGGTTGACCAGTACCACGTCTTTCTTCCCCCAGGTGGACTACTTTATCAGCGAGCAGAGCACGCCGGAGGCGCGAGCAGCGATGATGTTCCGCCAGTGGCTGGACAACGAGCGTGAGGAGGCCACGCAGGAAGAGCTGCTGTACGCCCTGGAGGCCGTCAAGCTGGACACCCGGGTGCGTCACCTGTTCGACCCGGAGGTGCGCGGAGACGAGGAGCCACCGCCGGCCGAGAGCTAGCCGAGGAACTCACCCGAGGATGACACACATTAGTGGTGGGGAGGGAAATATCCACTCAGCTAGAGGTGGTGAAATTCACCAGCTGCTGTCGGCTGTATGTTGGGTAGCCGCCAGGCAGACGCCGATGCCCACTAGCTATCGCCGTCGCCTACTAGCTAACGCCGGTAGCTGCTAGCCTATGGAGCGATACGGTACGTCATGCGATGGCTAACCATCAATAAACTGAGTTGTGCCACACGGACCATGATCCGGCCTGGCACCGGTCGAGCACGGTCAGCATGAGCCTTGAATGTGAGATACGCACCTCGTTCTGTCATGGGACTGAGGGTTTGGACTCTGGACGGCTGGGCGGCATTGGACTGAATGGACGGCTGAAAGGAGAATGCGATGCAGACCTAATGGGAGTTGACTGAACTACCGATGTTATCATAAATTGCGCTCAGTGGACTGATTCGAGAGGTGGCCTGGCCACGCTGACTGGCCAACCTGTTTGTTCATCGTAGTTTTGACATTGACTCTCACATCACTTCTCACTGTCACTATCTCACTGTCACTCTCCACGCTAGGAGCCGACTGAAATCGTCGGCTTCGAAACGCCTCACGAATTTTGTGGCACGTTTAGGTGCCGGCCTGTGCTGTGCCCCGATGTTTGCTGGATCTCGCTACAATCATCGAGCTATGAACAGGGAGTCGTTTTAAGGTTCTGTCAAGCCGTGCGTCACAATGTACAAAAATACATTTGTTGGCCTGTCTGTGATCGAAAAGTTTGGGAGTGGTATTTGTGCGTTATGGATGTGAAAATGGTTTGCTGTATCGTATTGACTGACAAGGACCATATGACACGACAATGAACTTGGTACAGCTTTAAAACGATGGTGCTACGCTACGTTCAGAAACGGGGTAGAGCGACGCTCACACCGTTTGAACTTGGTTTAGACATGGTAGACCTTGAAAATGGATGGCGTAAGCGTGGTCCTCCGTTCCGTCGTTTCCATCCTCAGGATAGTCAAATCCTTCTCTTCATCCACGCTTTGAATGGACGGGCAACTTTGTTACATCTGGGTAGCCCCACCTCAGGGGCGGGCCCGTAGCCGGGAGCGGTGATCGTCAAGAGACTTGGTTACTTGTCCTTGAGATTGGCTCAGCCCCGTCGGGTCACCAGGGTGCCCACCAAAACCAATATCTCCTAATTCCTGGCGCCCTTCCTGCTTTATCTCTGAAATGGTCTAATTAGACCCAACGAGCGTAACCCAACAGCAGGAAAGCTTTATTCTGGATTCCGGTACTTTTTCTCGCGAACGTATAAAGAAAACACTTCATATGGTAGCGAACTGAACTTCCGCTTCCAAATCATTTCGTGAGCAGAAGAGGCGCAGTTGATACGTTTGTGGCATACACAGAAAATCTGCTGGACGCGGTGTTCGAGGTGCGTATATTTTTATTTTATTTGTTTTTTTTTTCTCACTATTTTGAATTTTTACAATCATATGCACCTTCCTAATTGACCAGAGAAGATATTGATGCGCTTTTGTGTTGCTTTGGCTTGTCAAAAAGTGTTTGGAAAGGTATGCAATGTCAGTTTTAAACTCAAACTGAAGTCCGGTGTAATGCTTATGTTGTAAATTTTGTGCATATTTTCACATTAAATCAATATTTCCATTATTTATTGATGAATTTGATCACTGATGTTAGGTTCAATGCACAAAGCTCAGAGGTTATTTAACAAATTAATGGCAGCCAATCGTGGGCTGGATAAACGGCAACCGCCTGTAGTTTTGTTTTACCTACCCGATTTTGCCTTCAGCCCTCCATAATTTGTTCCCCACCATATTGTCTTGCACTTAGGGTAATTTTGATTTATTTATTGCTGAATAATGAACAGCCATAACCTGAAGTTGTCAAGTAACATAATTAAGTTGTTTTAAATTTAAAATTACTTTTACATACCTACCTGCATATCAATGTAGCAAAAGTAAAATTTCATAATCTGTTTATGAACAGAAATCAGTTGATGAGCTAAGAGATTGTCAACAGTAATACATAGATAGACAGAATAAACAGCCACAGGTAGTGTGCCAGATGATGGAACATTTCAAATAATGTTTGGGATAGGTAAAAGCAGTCAGCATTAAAGGAAAAGGGCCACCTTCGTGAAATATGAAGATATCGTTGTTTTTCATTTTGACATAATTATTTTTCATTTTCTTTTTAAAACTGGTGCCAGAAGTGCACAATTCGCGAAAAAGTATTTAAAACTATTTAACATATTGGTACTATGTTGATACTCTCTACGGCACCTACTGTATGATGGCATAGCGATGACGTCACACTCAAGCCAATCAGCGTTCAGAAGACAGACTCGTCGGATTGTGTCAGATAAGCTGATTGGTTAAAGCTGAGCTGGTTGGAGCTGATTGGTAAAAAACCAAAGCCTCGCCGCGGGTGGCTGTATTGTCGGATAAGAACGCATTCCTGGGATAAGGACGCATTCCTGGCGTATTTTCTTTTAAAATTGCCGATAACTACGAATGGAGGCCGAAATCGGCCGTAAGGAGGTAGACAGATAGGTTTTCGGACACGGGCTACAAGATGGCTATCTCAGTTTCAATCCCCATGTTAAAGGTGGCCCTTTTCCTTTTAAGTGTTTGCTAGTCAGAAACATTTTAACTTTCCATATCAATTTATTTGTATGCACACAATGCTGTAGAAGTTGGTCCTGCTTTGAAGCTGGTTTAACTTCAAAATCACCTCCTTCCCCTTGGCTTTTGTTTTGGCTAACATTGTTATGTACTACATACCTACTTAGGAGAGATATGTTACAGGTTCATGATTTTAGAATGCATTCCACATTCTCCCATGCCAATATGTGAAGCATAACCCACTGTCTCTCCACTCAGCTGCAGAATGAGCACCGTCAACTCCTCCGATCCGCGGCGTCCGGCGCGCGTGACGCGCTACAAGTCGCCACTGGCGGTGAACCCCAACTCGAGCGCCCCGGTGCCCGGCGAGGACCCCACCGCCGACTACATGAACGTCCTAGGCATGATCTTCAGCATGGTCGGCCTCATGATGCGCGTCAAGTGGTGCGCCTGGGTGGCCATCATGTGCTCCTGTGTCAGCTTCGCCAACTCGCGCATCAACGACGACACCAAGCAGATCCTGAGCAGCTTCATGCTCTCCATCTCTGCGGTGGTGATGTCGTACCTGCAGAATCCGGAGCCGATGAAGCTGCCCTGGGAGATGCTCTCGTGAGGACGTGTCTGCCCTGTCGTCCGGAAGCTTCCCCGGACGGCGGGGTTTGGGGACGGTGACTGGCGCGTGCGTTTCGTGCGGTGACATGAGAGTGGGGACTGGGGAGTGGGACTCCGTTTTGAGTGGATGCGTGCATGAAAATCGTCATCCGATTGTTCTCGTCTCTCTGCCGTAACGATCCGATCTTGTTTGAAAATGTCAGTGTCGTTTGCAGATGCTGAACGAATGACTCATTTACGTTCGACCCTAGACCAGTCGACCAGACCAGACAAGTCTCCACCTCAATTTCTTTACCAGTTATTGTCGACGTTGAACATTGGACTAGAACCCGCCTATCAAATATCTAGCGAGTGTCGTAGTGTTCTTCCATGACTTCAGCTGAATGCACCCTGGAAACGATTTTAATGGCGATTATATATTGTTAACGTGTTTATTTGTCATATGTGGCTAGTTGTTATCGGAGATAAAATTTGCACTAGATATGATTTCATGATTGTGGCATGTTTATTGTTCAGTGTTTACCGAATAGAGAAACGTCAGCTGTCATAATTGTTTTACGTTTTTTTTATGTGTTTGCATGTTTGCCTTGCGATATTCCCAAGCATTGCATTGAACGATTTATCCATACATGGTGAAATAAATATCCTCAACACTTTATTTTTATTGTCGTGTGACGACTTGAGTACTTTTTTCTCGAGTTTTCGAGATGCCTTTACGAATGGTTGACTAATCATTATAATGATTAATTTGTGTCGTAGTGATCCTAAGCTGTGGACTGAAGCCAGAGAACTGCAAACGACGAGTGCCGTCTCACACTAGGTGGCTCCTCGTTTGCGCTCGAAGCTTCCATGCCGATACGGCGGGCACTGTCCGATTGCTGGCCGTTCTCTCAGAGCCCTGGATAGACGGTATCGGTCGTACCGCCGCGGGGCCGGTACTCCAATCGGAGATAGCCCACGGCCCGTGACCCGTGGTCCGTGCTTCGTCTGTGGACGGTATGCGGCGCCACGCTCTGCGGGGTTCGGGCGTGCCGTTCACCAGCAGATGGGGCTTGTTAGTAGAACGAACACTACGAACTCTCTTGTCTGAGTAATGAGTTCCGACTACCCGCATCCAAACTCCGCTACAAACCGGTAAAAGCCGGGATCGGGCCACCTCCAACCGACGCGGCGGTGCGGTGTTTGACAAGTAGGTTTGTTTGACAAGTGACCCACCCGTCCACGATCTGGCATCTGGATAGGTATAATATATAGCATCACATGTCAACCGGGTCTGCGAACAGCTGCGGAAAGCCCTGAAAGGGCAACTTCTCTAATGTGAACATTTGTAGCTGTAAGATATTCACATTTAGATTTCCCTGAGGAATGCCGATACGGCTCCGGGCTCACAACTTGTGGTGATTGTGGTGATTGTTGATTGTGGGATTGTGGCGATTTCAGCTTCATAAGAGTACACTGGCTTCCAGCTTTCCCACGTCTGTACTCGGTGTCATGAGTCATGACCCATGCTGCCGCCTATTTTTATCTTCGTATCGCTTACGCACAAACAGCAATCCCATCCGCCCACGTTCAATCGATGTGACAATCCCCGTGACCCTTGGACCGATTAGTCCAGCCGCGCGCGGCATCGTATCCCCCGGGGTTAGCTACCAATCGCTGCCACCGGTCGGCGCGCGCAGGGCAGGAGCCAGCCTCCCTCCCCCCTCCCACCGGTAGAGGCTGGAGCGCGACGGCGCGCCGGCCGGCTGGGCTCACTGGAGGGGAGGGGAGGGGGAGCCTGGGACGCGGCCGGCCCGACCGGCCCGCGCCGGGCAGTTGCCGGCTGCCGCGTGGTGTGGTTGGTTGCGCGGTGCTGCGTGGCTGTGTGGCAGATCCCGGTGGTGAACTGAACTAGCGAATGGTTGATCCCGGGTGAGAGGAGCGTCTGAGGAGGGAGTTACCACAGCCGGTGAGTGTCGTGTCACACGGAGTTGTTCCGTAAACTGGAATGACCTTGAACTGTGGTCTGCCGGCCGGCGCTGTCTGGGGACTGGAGACGCCGGCTTTTGTGACCGACCACACTGACACTGACACAGGCGCCGGATTAGGAATGGAAAACAGGGTGTCGGTGGCGTGTGGCTACTTTTTACTTCAAGATTCCAGTTATGTTAGGCTGATTTCAGGATGCATGTTGTTGATGCTGCTACGCTACTTCAATTTGGGGATCTCGCGTTATTGTTATCACATGTGCGCCTCGCCAACGGACCACGGAAGACATTTCAGTCCCATTTGCAGTAAGTTATCTTATGTCATGTTTATTTCCTAAAATAAAAAATATAACTGCCGATATTTTATTCAGTACCTATCTAGTATTCACTGACTACTCCAGAAGTACCAGTGCATGGCGACAAAATCATTATAAAATTACGGCCATTTATAATATGAAAAATAATTATTTATGAAATAAATTGGCCTTGTCCCGCTCCCGCTCCTGATCCCGGCATTTCTGCAGCGCCTAACGGTTTTAGATGCCATCACAACTCGCCGGATATTTGGCGTCGGAGATTTGAGACTGGCCATTTTGAGCCGCCCGGGAGAAAAAGCAACGTGAGCAGAGCACACAACAGGCCTCGGTTTCGGTCTCAGATGGCAGGCAACCTCCGAGAATAGAGTCCACCTGCATTCGCTAGACCCGAGCCGGAGCCAAGACGGCGGCCGCCGCCCGGGGGCAAATCCAGGTCGCCGGGGCTAATCGATGCCTGACGCATGACACAGTGGGGTTTGCTTGCCGCCTTCCCTCGCATCGTCCGACCAGGGGCCGCACGAACGGGCAAATGGGCTGTTTGATTACGGGGAGGGGCGGGGGGAGGGCGTCGGCCTGCGCCCTGCGGCCGGCTCAATGACAGAGTGGGGAGGGGTGGCGGCGACGGGCGACTCCTGGCGCCGCTCAGGTGCACGCCCTCTGTACTCCCCACCCCCCACCCTCCCCCTCCGGCTGCACGGTGGGAAATGACGGCCCAGCGTTCCATGAATGCTGTCACCGACTGCCGCATACCGGGCTCGGGAGCAGGATCGCCCACGCAGCCGGTTTGTGGTGGTGGGCGGCTTTATTCACCGGCATGTGACCGCACCGACTCTGTCACCGTTTCCGTTTCCGTAGCAGTGACAGTTTCAGCCGCAGTGACAGTCACGGTCACAGTTGCCATTACTGTTGTCACTATTTGCTGTCACAACCATCCGGTCATCGACAGTCAAACGTCGATGTCAAAATTGCAATAATTATCACCTTTGGTTCTGTGGTCCTTTTTCGTTTACCGTCAGCGACATCTTCACTGTCACGTGCCACATGGGCTGTCAACACGGTCAGTCACCGACACCGACAGTCCGACAGTCAACACAATGACCGTCACAGTGACCGTCAGTGACCCAACACCGTTACCATGGTACATGTCACCATTGACATTATGTCGTCGTTACCATTAGGTCACCGCTGCCGTTTCAGTTTCCATTATCTTCATACGCCGTCGCCGACTCGTCAACATAGGCCATAGTCAACAGTAACACAGTTAAATTCACCGACACAAACACTCAACATGTTTACCGTCACAATCACCGCAGCCGTTACCGTCACGATGCCTGACATATCCACCGTCATATTCACCGTCGGTGAATCATAGACGGTTGCCGACGGTTTTCATCACATTCGTTGTTTCCGTCATCGACCTAATTCACTATCAGCGCCCTGTGTATATTTTTAGGCCACTGGCCGACTCAGCTGCGCATTCTCCAGCACACAGGCCGTGTTTGTTTTGAACGTCTTCTACATGTTCACACACGCAGAGCGCACGTGCCAGCGGGCTCGTGTCAGTCACCGCTGTCGACCGCCGCGGTTGGCCGGCTCTGCACGATCAGCTGACGGGCGGTTCCAGCCGGGGGCGGTGACGGCATGACGTCATATCCCGACCGCTGGAGAGGGCAGGGGAGGGGAGGGGGAAGCCGTGCGACCGCCGCTGGCCCAACACTGCTGCGGTCGCCGTACCAGGCAGCCGCCGACACGGCCCGAGACACCGACAGGCAATGGAGGTGTAAATTTGTTTTATGTTTTGCATTGCTCCTCAGCCTGTGGAAGACGAGGCCGAACTGTTGACATCGTGTTATTGTGGACCTTTTCACCTCACGATTTATTTATTTTCTTATACACATTCCTTCATCCGCATCAATACAAATTGTCACACTCACAAATCTTTTAAGTCGTGCACTAGGGTATGGAGGCCAGAGAATGATCAGTGCAAGACTGGCCCGTGTATTTTACGTGTCTTCAACTGCTACTTCTGCTAACAGCCACATCTCAATGCACCGACTGAATAATCGATAGTGCCCGCCAGCTTTCCTCTGTAAAGCTAGTTTACGAGCTCTATCGATAAATCACGCAGCTGCGGCGCATATGTCAGCGCTGGCTTCTGATCGAAGATCGTCCGGAGTATGTTTGATTTGCGCAATAAATCTAACTAACTGATTATCTAACTAACTGATGCGGCACCGTTCTTCTTACTCGCAAAACGGAACCAGGCTGTGGAATCTGCTCCTGCCAAGAGAGCATCACCATCGTCCGCAGCCCTGAGATGACCAAGTCCTTCGATCCGCCTCTCCTGCAATGTGAAGTGCAGTGTGCCCTTTACCTGCCCGTGTGCTTCTAAGCTGAATGCGGCGTCAGCGAGAAGCCTTTGAACTGTGCCATCAGGTTACTGAGAGAACAGCGACAGGTAACCCTGGCAACGGTATCGTCGGATCCCGATCTCGTCTGGAAATATGTGCGTCGTCGTCAGTGTGGGCCCGTCGTCGGTGGAGCCCTCCTTAGATCGGAGCTAGCCCGGCGGTGATTTATGTTAGTCGATTCATGAAGGAGGGCTCTCATGTGATTGGAGAAGAATCGGGATCCTGGATCTACATATGATGATTTATGGGAAATTGAGCTCTTTATTTCTCTACACATAATATTTCATTATAATAAGTGAAATGCTATTCTTTCTTGTATTTTTATTTATTTAGTCTGATGATGCACAGTTAATCCGTCTTCACCATAAGTCTTCAATGACTTATGAAACGATAGAATTGGAACCTTGTAATCTAAACACGTCAGCGCATTATTTCATCAAAGGGCACATTTCTGAAACAAACTAACCCAATAACTAGCGGCGCGAGTAAACAATGGTCTACGTTTTGACTGAACGTAGGTAAGTTTGTTTTGAAATGGAAAACTTACAATGTCGTGTCATTTATATCGTATGTTAGTGGCATCTGTTCGACAACTGGCTGAAATGCGCCGTGAAATGCAATGCTGTAGCATTGCGTGGCATATATGCCGCACATACCACACGGCACACACCATGACTGGCGACTGCACACACCTCAGTGCATGCCTGCAGTCCTGTATGATGGCGAAGCACTATAGTGTGCGTTTGAGACGGCACGAACCCCGCTGCTAAGGCTGCACATGAACCTGCAGACGTGCCTAGTGCCTACATACGTGGGTGCTACATTGAGTGCGGTCCATTGTTAAACACCCAGACAAGTGAAAGCGTTGTATTTTTGCAGCAACTACACGCATTTCTCTCAAGTTCGATAGTTCCTTACCTCGTAAAACCTTTCAGTGTCACAATCAAAAGCTCAGGTGACTAC